AGCCTGGGTTAAGGTTAACAATCCTCTGAACTAGTAAAAATTGTGTTAAATAAGCTTTAAGAAAACAGAAGAACACAGAAGCCCCCAAGATTCTGAAGAAAAACTGAACCATATGTTGGTGTTAGCAGTGACCCAGCTACGCAGGGTACTAAGCAACTACATTTCCCAAGGGATAGGGACCGTACTGAGGCACTGAAGAATTCATTTTTTTTTTTTTTTCACAGTTGGATGAAATATCCCTGAAGGCTTTCAATTCCCTTTGCTCTAAGTTCATGCTCCCTAACCAGCCCTGATTCCCAGCTCAATCCCTTAATACCCAGGTAGCAGATACATAAAGTGGCCAGTTAAGTGAAAAGAGGCTATTTCCCTTTCCACTGTCATTCTTTTAAAATCAACTTTTTTAGTTTAATTACTATGAATACTTAAGATCCAGCTAGCTTACTGTAATGTGCTGACAAATCCAGAACTGAACTAAAAAAAACATTACCTAGATTTTAAAGTGCTCACTATGCTGCTGTCATAAGAATTGCTTGGCGTACCATGTAGCCACCTTCTCTAACACTTTCTTAAACAAAAGAACTACACCAGGTGTTGTAGCACATGCCTATAATCCCAGCACTCAAGAGGCTGAGGCAGGAGTATTACCGTGAGACTGAGTTCAAGTCTAGCCTGAACTGCATGAAGAGACCCTATCTAAAAACTAAACAAGAAAACACTACTGCACATAAGATGTACCATTAACAGCACAAAATAACTCTCATTAAAGACAGGCTCAGACAGGGCGGATCACAAGTTCAAGGCCAACTTTTAACTATTTAGGGAGTTTGAGGCCAGCCTGAGCTACATATAGGAGATTGTAGCTCAAAAATATAAATAAAAAAGATAAACCGAACATATTCTTTTTGAAAAAGAATATATTTGATTTCTCAAATTATGACAGATTACAACAGTTTCTGGTATGATCAAGAAAAAGTAAAAGAAGGACATTTCAAATACAGCACAGCTTATTCCTATAACTTAGTAGAAATAGCTAGTTGACACTGCTTATTCTAAAGGTGATTTTGTAATATAGATTTTTGTTGATTGAAATTTTTATAGTTAAACAAACTAAAAATAGTATAAAGGAAAAGCACTGCAAAAGGGTTCAAAGAATAAGAAATCACACAGAGATAAAGTCAACAGAAAATACTGAAAGCCCTCAGGGGCAGCATACATATCACCACTTCTCCTAAACCCTAAGAGTGACCTTCTCTCACACTAAACAAAAACCAGGTCGGCCAAAGAGTTCTAACACACACAGACAAGAAATCTACTTTTCTATCTATTTTGTAAAAGGAGAATATCAGTATCCACAACTATATGACATCTTTTATGAGCACTGAAGTCACTTAATACTGAAATTGTGTATTAGTGTGTTTCATGTCCCTCTCTAAAAGACCAAGTATTTCTTTTTCTTTCCATTTTTCATTTCACTTTAAATTATCATTCTTGGGTTTAATATTGGTTTTCTTCAGCTTATTTCTTCCATTTACAATATATCAACAGTTTAAAACCTGCTAAGTGTGTACATAATGGCACATTAGATAGAGCAGATGTGCATGGGAGTGAGAGAGAACAATTCTCAGAGAATGGCACTTAGATACAGCAAAATGTTGCCAACAATATTTTAAGAATTATGAAATGAATGAGAAGTCATTTCATACATTTTAAATCAGAAGCAATCCATTACATGACAAATACATGAGAACCTAAATGAAATAAAGTTCTATTATAGTGAAGCTACAGCTTCAGTTTAAGTAAGATTAAATAAACTATGTCTCGAGTTTCAGGTGTGTATCAAATTAGTTATAAAGCTACATATTCTTCTCAATATTCTTACTGATGTGCATTTACATATGCTATAATGCTACAATTATAAAAAGACGACTCAATGGTAGAATGAGCATAATCTAAAATCATGTTTTCATCATGAACTACACTAGAAAATCAGAGGACAGCTAAGGTAAAAATTAGTTCCAACAGAGAACTAATGAAAATACTACTAGAACACTGGGGTGGAGTTCAGTGGTAGAGTGTTCCCAACAAGTGCAAGGCCCTGGTTTCAATACCCAATAAAATAAAACAAATTTGTAAGGGTTACCCCCGCCAAAAAAAAAACCTATTAAAGAGGACCAAAAAGCATCATAAATTCCAATTTCATACAAAAAAGTGTATTTTCACCTTTGATCTGAAACACAGTATTTCATCCAAATCTTAACCTACAAATGATAAAATCATCTGAGACCACTGATACCCAATATAAAGTCTTTCAGAAGGAAAGCTTTTATATCTTTCTGAAATATCAAGAATGTGAAATTCTTGCCGGTTTTGTTTTCTGATATCTGAATCCAGATAAAATATGCAAAAAAAATTATCATACTACTCAGGGATAACTAATTTTTATGAAGAAAGTCTACAAATCATTTAGTTCCAAGTATTATATTGGTGTCTTATCTCTCTAAAGTACAAATAAATAAGAATTCCTGGCTTAGAATTTTTTAATATTGCCTTCTAAATTAACTTTTTAAAATTAATTCCTATATAGCTAATTTAATCTAACTTTATAATCTAGAAGGAAGATTAAATTCTAGGATGATGAACATTGACACAATCTTCAATAGCAGTTTCTAAGACACATGAATTAATTTTCTTACATCCCAAGTAAAACTTGTTTCTGTATATAAAAATAGGTACATTTTCTTAAAACGTGTTACATTTAAGAATTTAAATGTGTTCAACATACAAATTGCTTAAGATTGTACTAGCTATGTACTCTACACTAATTACAGTCCTAGAAATTAGTAACATATAATGAATGAAACTCACATTTCCTATAAATATGTAACGATTTGGCTATAAATATTACTGATAACAAGAGCAACATCAGTCACTCAATAACTTCCCATTACTCCCCGGATAAGTTGTATAATCTTATCTCATAGTATAAAACTGCAAGATTTCATTTGCGCATTTCTAAACAAGAAAACGTTTAATTTGTCATGTGTGTCTTCCAGTTTTACTCACATTTCTAAACTTTTCTACAATGTAAAATAACAATTTATATTATATGCACAACATCTAGCAATATACAGCTTTTGATTACAAACATATAGTTGGAGGAAATAATAGTGGAACCTGGGGGGGGGTCTTATTCTTGGGGACCCAGAATGGTGTAGGTCATATAAAAACATTCCAGTTCTTCATAATCCCATACATGAAACTCCAAAGAGTAAGGAGCATCTCAACTAGCTGAGTAAAAACATTTTGAATGCCACAGTCCAGCCTCAAAGATCACATATTCAAAACCATACTTTTCAAAGAATCGGGAAATAAAAACTAAGAGCTTAAAAATCTTTCTGAACCGCCAAGATAATTTGAAGGTTAAATCCTAGCACTTCCTTTTGTAGTTTTAAATAAAAATATTCAAGTAAACACTCAAGGATACACAATACAAAACGATGCATCAAGCTACCAAGCACAGGATGTCTTTATGAAGGTGCCTTAATTTCCTTTAAGAGACGATAGACTGACATTTCTGCTTAGTGGGTTGAGGGGGGGAAAGCCACAAGAAGCCACGCTTTACCTTCATTAGAAATGGTAAAGGGCAAAAGGATCAAAACATTATGAGAAGACAGGAGAGGAGAGAGGAGAGAGGGGCGGGCGGGGGACAGAGGGAATCCAGTTTCCAATCAGGCCAGTGGGGGCTGCGGAGAAGAAACCAGAGGAAAATGGGCTTTGGATTCCAACTGTCACAAGCACCAGGCATCACAAAAGAGCAATACAACACACACCAGAGCATACACACGTACACCCCAAAAGGTCTTCTCCGGGCGGGATACCGAGGTGCAGCAACAGCGGAACCAGACCCGGCTCTGGCTAGGGGAGACACCATGTGCACCAATTATGCAATTAGGGAAAATAGCAAAGGATCGAGCCGGGCACTTTCCATGGTGACATTTATCCTGTACTTCGCAAAGACTTAGTTCCAGGATGCAGTTCGGAGAGGGAAAGGGCTGGAAGGGTGGAGAAGGATGGGAAACTGAGAAGGAAAGGGGGTAAAGAAGGGCAGGGAGGGACGAAGCCGAGGGGGGAGGATGGGAAGGAGGGGGAGGGGTAGAAAGGGCGAGAAACGGGGGCAGGAGGCTCTCGGGAGGGGGCGCAGGGAACCGGGCACGCGGGGATCGGAGAGGCCGAGAACTAGGGCGCGAGCGGGGCGGGCAGGGACCTGCGGCGTGGAGGGGAGGTCGGGAAAGTGGGGAGGGCGCCGACGGGAGGGAGCACGCGGGCGGGGGGCACCGCGCGGCCCGGGCGAATACCTGAGGGGGGCCTCGCGAGCCCAGGACGGGCGGCCGACGCGCGCGGGGGCG